AGTATGTCCTATGCTGTCACTTGAACCTGAATTACTGCTGCTTATATTGTGATGCAATAATGACCATTTTCCTACAGATAGGAGCCCTTGATAACCCCTCCCACTTCAAAGGCATCTGACCTCACCACCAAAAAAAAAAAAAATTCTATCTAAAGTAGGTAATTTCAAGAGTAATGGGTCTTTTCTGTGAACAGTAATACACCAAAATGAATTTTCAGGATACAGAACAGGATATTCACAAATTTCTAGATCTCTGAAGTTGGCCTGCAGTCTTTTGCTAATATCTTTTGAGGAATGATCAATCATAAAAAGGTTTTAAATATTTTCTCTGTCCTATTAGGACTCCAAGTTTGTCAAACAGTTGGTTGTAAACCATACTTTAAATCTTTCCAAGGCGAAATCATTTTAATTGGTGCCAGATATGGTGGAACAGTGGTCAGTAAACTATGAAGTAGATTATTTCCCTTAAAAACTGAAGTAAAAATGTGTATTTATTAATCTTCCTTTGCAGGCTATGGAACTCTTAAAGTTATCCATATTAATAGAGTGCTAACAAGAGACATTCAATACACTTAATTTGACATATTGTAGAGGTACTAGCACTGATAGAAGCAAATGGGTTCTCCTCGTATACTTTTCTTCTATTCTATACCCCAACACAAGTCAAGGATCAGAATGAGATGTTTCAGGGATATTCAATAAAACCCCATAAATGTTTGCTTTCTGCTCAAAATTTAAACTGATTAAAAACATGGTAATAATCCTCCACAGTTTTAATCGAATGTTCTGAAACTATATTTGTATTTCTAATAAATCTGTATGATTCACTTTTTGCAAAAGTATTTTTTAAAAGGAGCTCTTGATTAGATGAATTATCAACATTAATACTTTTAAGAATCAAAATTTGTTCAATTTCCTTTGAACATAAAATACTCCACAGAATTCACATTTCAAACTAAAATTTTATTCTAGTTTGGAGAACTTTGCTCTCTCACTTCCTTCTTTCTCATTAATACATCTAGTCAGTGGAGTTGTACCCCTCTCAATAAACACAAGGAACCTAATAAATAAGAGGAAAAATAAACTTACAAATACTCTTTTTTCTATTATCCCATATTTTAAATCCTTACCAGTTTTATGGCCTCCTGAACTAGATTATTAGAATAAATATAAAGAAGAGCCAGAAAAGATACTTCTCAATAAAACACTTGTGGACCAAACATGAAAAATTGTAAATTTCACTAGATTATTCATAATTCTAACATGTTTTAAGACAAACATTTGCTCTTAAGAGATACCTGTTATCATCCAATGTCTCTAAAAATAAAGTGTAAACCCAGCTTTTACATTTGATGTCATATTTTGAGTATTTTTGGCATTATATCACCATTACAATTCTAAAATTTCAGTAAACAAAAAAATTCTCATTTTTTTTTCTTTAAAGGACTTTATTTTGTTTCCAGGACCAAATAGAAGCCCTATGAATTTTGGGGCTTTGCTCTCCAATCCCAACACCAGTATTTTAACTTCAAATTCCCCTTTTTCCCCCTGGAAGGTCAATGATCCTCGTGGTTCTCAGGTCACATCTTTAAGTCACCCTTCTGCTCTACTTCATTGTTGTGCTCTTGAGCTCCCTTTCCTGAAGAAAGCTGTACCACGCCTGGAGGAGTAGGGCCTCCTCCTGCAGGGCTCTCTCCTCCTCCTGAAGGGCGCTGTGCTCTTCTCTCAGAGCCTTGTTCTCCTTCCGCAGGGCCCGCTCCTCCTTCCACAGGGCCTCTTCCTCCTTCCCCAGCGCCATGCCCTCCTTCACCAGGGCCTCTTCCTCCATGTTGATGGCTCTCTTCTGGTGGTGCAGGGCCCTGATCTCCTGGTTCAGGGACCTCATTTCCTCGTCCAGAGCCTTGGCCTCGTTCTGGAAGGCGATCTCCTGCTGCTTGCGGGCCTTGAGCTGGGCCTCGCRGGCTCGTTTCTGTTGCCGACTGGATTTTCTCTGCGTGTT